ACATCAGATGGGATGTTGGTTGTACAACTTGATTGCTGCTATTATTGACTTCAGTGGAGAATAAGGTGAGATATAAAACCAGCCTATCTCATCTGTTTCTGAATGGTTTAATTGAGTACCCTTCTGTGATTCTCTATCAGCAATAGCTTGGATTCAACATCCAATTAATGTTAGCAATTTCATACTTCATGATGTAGAAAAATGTCCCATCATTGGCAGAACATTTAGGAAGAGAAACCGATTATTAATGTCAGTACTTGGCATCTCATTGCACTTTTGCAGCTCCCCATCTTTGTTTCTGTAACCTAATTTTATATAAAGTTTTCCCTAAGCATTTGCTTCATAGTCACAAGTGGGGAATGTCCCATTTCATTTCCTTTCTTACTCAATGTTTCAAGAATGGAGGAAGGAAACAATTTCAGCCTGGGGTCAGAGCACAGTTTTAAAAAAGGAGAACTCCTTCTACAGTGTTCCAACAATGTGCTTCATCTCCCACCTCACTCAGCTATCCTTGAGGCTTCTCTGAAGAACTGTGCATGCACTCACCAAGTACTGGACTACAACTGATCAAATTCATTTTGCATGGAAACCTCGCAGCCAGATACAAGGGGAAACCTTTATCCTATCCCTGAATTTAGGGCCAGCTGCTAGAAGTGAAAGATTATACACTGAACCATCCACCCCTTTCAAACTTTAATTTGTCAAGGTCCAATTTTACAATCATCCGTTGTTTTTAAACAGTTATAACAAATCAGTTCTAATAAAATTTAGCGGGGTTCATGGGGTGTGTTATCATGAAGAATAACTGACATACCTGACACTTGTTGAGAAGTTTAGGCACTGATTGCACAGAATGATTGGAATATGGATTTTATCCATGGACTCCTCACTGAGTGAGTGATTTTTTTTATATTATACCCAGCAATCAGTGCAGCACCAGAGAGGGTAGTGATATTAAAGATGTAATGGAGGAATAACTGTTGTAAGAGAGCACAGGTTTATGTTTTTAATTTGTTACTGGCACGTGTACCGATGTACAGTGAAAAGTGTTGTCTTACGTACTTTACAGGTAGGTCGTACTGTACAAGTGCATCAGGGTAACAGGACAGAGGGCAGGTTACAATGCTGCCAAGAAGGTGCAGAAGAGATCAACATTAAATTAAACAGGTCCATTCAAAAGTCTGATAACACAAAGATGCATCTTTTCCTTTCCCCTAGTTCTTGCCCTGTTCTTTAACTATGGAAAGAAATAAAGTAATATAAAAAGGTAAAAACTTTGTTCCAAGATATGTAGTACTCGGACTCCTTGCTTCTCAGTACTTGCTGTCAGAATAGGACCTACTGCGCTCCAAGACCAGTAAAAGGTCATGTTTCAGAAGCAGACGAAAGCTGGTTAGAGACATCCATATCCTGGGTTGATGAGCCCCATATTGCTTAAGAGGCTGTAAAGGCAATGCTTTTGAGTGGCATGCCAAGACAAAAGACTCATTCCACCTGACAGGCATGGTGGATCATGGTGGTAAAAATGTCAGGCTCTCTCAGCTCGAGTAGCAGCCCCAGGCTCCAAAAGACTTTTTTTTTGTCTCTGAGATGGAAACATAAATTGGATCCCTGCCCAAAAGCTCAATCTAGGCTGTAATTGTATCTCTCAGCTCGGAACCGAGGGAACATGTGCAAAGTGGCCCGTAAATGATTCCATCGGATGAAAAAAATATAAAAAAATACAAGGTCGCGTTCCTGCATCGGTGATTCTACCCTCCCCCTCCCCAACCAGAGTCTTGACCTCTATCAGAGAGAATATCTTTGCAGCATTTGATATTCCCTGATGGCATTTTCTCGTCGAACTACTCAGTCTGTCACAATAAGAGGAGAATTACAGCATTGACGGATCGGTAATAGGACATGAGAAAGTGCTCTTGTGTCACTCGCTGATGTGTCAGAACATGCTCTCTTTGCAGAATTTTTTTTTTGCAGATGATTGACAGAGGTGGAGATTTATTCTGGCAAGCTGTGTGCCATGCTTTGTGGGCATGGCACTGCAGGAGAGTTCTTGGGCATGCAGTACCCAGGAGAACGAAGGTCAGAAAATCAGAAGAGATCCCATGGTTTGTGCTGCAAGTCAGTGTTGATATCAAGCTGGCAGTCTGTCTGGCAAATATCTGGTAATTGGCCCACCAACAATTCTGGTTTAGAGAACAGAAGCAGACCATTCAACCTCTCCAGCTGTTATATTGGAATAGGTGTAGGCCATTCAGTCCATCCAACATGTTCTGCCATTCAGTTAGATCAAGGCTGACTGGTTCCTCGTCTGCATCTACCTGCCATTTCTCTTTGCCTCTTCAGGAGGAGCTGGTCATATTGGGTCCCCAAGCCTGCTCCACACATTCCATAATCTCATAACTGAACTTTCACAGCAACTCCACTTTCTTACCCTATCTCCATTTCTTGATGCCCTTGCTAACAAGAATTTTAGTTCCTGTGTTGGAACCTCCAGTTGATGCCCTGTTTGAGGAAGAGAGTTACCACTTTCATTAACTGTTCTGTTTCTTTAAAACAAAAGCACTTCCTGATTTCACTCCTACATGGTCTAACTTCTGGGGAGTGGTGCAGCGGTAATATCACTGGACCTCTTTAACGCAGGACCCCAATGTAATGTCCTGGGAATATGGATTTGATTCCCACCAGGGCAATGTAATGTCCTGGGGATATG